CATTCCTTTAATTATAATGTTTTCCATCTTTATCTCTCCTCATTTCATTTTCCAAGTCATCTCACCCTGAATCTCTCCTGCTGTTGTTCAGAGCCAGCAGCATCTTCAGCAGTACCCATATCAGACTCAACCCTGTCCAGCCAATCAGACAGCTTCTCAGTGGCATCTTTAAACTTGTTGGCCAATGGGAGAGCTTGTTCCAAACTCTGCTGCCTGTCATTGGCCTTTGAAGAGATGTTGGCATATCTGTCCTTCATGCTGTCCAGTTTTTCTTGAATGACAAGGATCTCATCTCCTGAAGTAAAGTTTGTTTAAACAACTTATTTATGACATATTCTTTAGACATCAGAATGATGTGTACACAACAGTGATGTGTACTAAACTTAAATACAGACACAAAGATAAATAGCTCTACAGCCAAGAAAGAGACCTCTGGATTGGCTATCCTAGCTAAGGGATACTCTTCATTCTGCAGTAGGCATCCCTGGCTAACATGCATGTCTTGTACCATGCAAGAGAAGCACAAGTTATGGTAAGGAAGAAGTTGGGTTTAGTAATGACAAGATACATGTACATAGTAGTTCAGAACATAGTCAACTTTACCCAATGTTCTTTTTTGTATTCCAGAAAATTTCAGGATATTTCACATTTGAGTAATTCAATACATGTACTTTAGATTTTCTATCATTCTGTATCCCAAAGATGTATTCTGGATTTTCTAAATCAATATTTCACATAATATGTTCCATGTCTACATGTACCTACATGACACAGTGGATGCCTTTGTTCAGGGCAGGCAACAACCCAGTGGTTAGGGATTAGAAATGGGGACTAAACAGTAACTTATAACACATTGACAAAAAACACAAATTATAAATAAGAAAATGAAGAAAATCTGAAAAATTAATCGGAGTGTGAGAAACAAGTGATTGCATTGTTCAGGCCGAAGGGTTGAAGTACACGTAGCATGTGGTGCTTACCTTCTGCAGGGTCAGAAAGAGATATACGGGTGAAAAGGAAAAAAAAGAATGGATAGAGAATGAATGTCAGGAAAGAACTGTAAATACAAGGAATGAGAAGACAAGCTCACAGTATTCATACACCCAGCTTTCACCCAAACCTTAACAGTTTTTCTGCAAAATAATTTAACTTTGAATTGCTCCAGAACCTGAATTTTTCCTGAATAAATAATGTTTCAATTTTCTGAGAAGGTAAGGGTGGAAACATTTATTTTCTTCAGTAATAAAACTACTCTTTGTAGTTTCTAACCTCCATTTTATATTGTTTTTTCTTACAAATTTTTCTACTAGAATATACAATGAAAAATCCTATTTTCATGAATTTGTTTGACCTCACACATTCCTCATGCCTACAAGCACAATGCAAAAAGAGGAAATAGACAGAAGGCAAAACAACACAGGCATAATAACTACCATGAAAGTATGCACTCTAACAACATGCATACATGTAGAACACGGGTTAAAATACTTTTTTTTTCCAGGTTGCCCGGGCGGCAACCTGGGTCAAAAGCCAGGTTGCCCCATCAGGATTTCAGGTTGCCCCATTTCAAAGGAATTCTTCAAATCTTCAAATCTGCTACCCAATATCCATTATCCTTTCTTTTTATCAATTAATAGGTTTGTTTATCAAGTAGCAAACACAACAGCTGTCAAACATCATCGTTTATTCAAAAATGCTACCTTCACATCTCCGACTCTGAGCCGGAAGAACTGCTGGTTTCATCATCTGCCTCGTCCTGCCTGGGCCTTCTTCCATAAACACCTAGAGCTCTCTCAATATGACCGGTCCATCTTGTACTAAGGATGCGGACCTTAACCCACGTTCAGGTTGAGGTCCAGACCAGAGGTTTAGGTTCAGGTCCGGACCTTATGATTCCGGACCTAAACCCATGGCAATGCAGTTACACCAGCATAACTCGAGCAACTTGGCTAAATTAAGATGAAAACTCTTTAATAAATACTTCTATCAAAGAGTCAAAGACAGAAAGATTGAACTAAACTCAAACTTGTCTTGTGTTATTCACTGGTAAGTTCTGACACAGCCATGCAACTACTGAGTACTGTTAGCACCCTTAATTTTGAAAAAAAATGGGCATAGGTTCCCCGGATGACCCCTAACGGGCCAACGGTGCTTCCACAAGTTCAACAAGTGAAAAATACATGATACAAAATGTAACATTTATACCTGGAACTTGGAGCAAGTTTTCCATAGGTGTTACCTACATTAATCTTAATAAACTAAACCAAATATAACTAAGCTAGTAACCCAATCATATCCAAAACAAAATCACATATTGACACAGCTGAACAAATAAAAATGTGATTATGTCTATAGACTCTTACTCAAAAACATTTTTTGGGAGACACTCGGACCGCCTCATATTTTAAGTCCTTCACAGCATCAAATCGCACATTCTAAGAAACAACTATTATATTCTGAAGCTAGAAACCAATAAATTAGAAAAATTTCACAGTAATGTTTGAAAATTAACCTTCTAAAAATATGAGTGAATTTTTATTTCTGTTGTTGCCGAAAAATAATTTCATGCGTTTAAAGTATCGTTTTAGCACATTGCTATGTCCTGTACGTTTGGATGTTAACTTGACCTTTGATCACTTTTGTTGTCAACATGTGTCGGCCATTATTTCTTAGTCTTTCGAGCTGGTTTTTTTGACAAATTTCAACCGTTTTAAACGTTTCACGGCCTCAAAAACTCATAAAACGGGGAAACTAAGGTATAGTTGTTATTTTCATGCGTAACATTTCTTCTGGGGATGGATTATTTTTCCGCGGAACCGCTGAAAACTTCACGCGCACAGCCGGCAGGATAGCGGCTCGATCCACGCCGCTCGGCCGAAGAAAATTCGAATGACGAACCCATTTATCGGGGAATTAAATCCCTACGCGCACGTGCTCAGGGAGGCGAAACGCCAAATTATCAACACCCGCTGTTATTTGAGTAGAGGGACTGCTCACGTGCAGGCCGGCAGGCCGAGGCGGGATGTTATCAGGCGGGACCGCGGCACTGTTTATTTCAGAAGCCGCCGGCCGTAAACCCAGCCGCTGTAAAAATAAATTGCGCCCCGGGCAACCTGGCTTTCCGAATAAGTCTCGCACAGAAAAAATTACTTGCGCGGCGAGACTGCGAGACCGGGTATTTTAACCCCTGGAACATATACTAAAAACAAAGATTATAAAGATGTGGGTACAAGGCTTCCTTAACATCATAACTAACATTGCACAAATAATTGTACTTCTAAAACTGAACATCTGAATAGATGTGCATATTGACTAATAAGGTGCATGTAATGACTGCATTCTGTTGACCAACCAGGGCACTTTGTGTTGGAACATACCATCTGACAGGGGTGGCAGCACTAACCTGTAGTTTGTGTGAGGAGAGATTTCTCAGTTTCTACAGCTTCTTCTACAGCTGCCTTATGGTCAGTTTTGGTGATGGCCTGTAAAGGAGACGAAGTCAACCTATCATTAGAAAGGCTCATGATGAGAAATTTTGCCTGTAAATTTCTACAATGTTGGAGATGGCTACACATACATGTACTAGTAGACACAGATAAATCAAAGTTAACAGATAATTCTACTTTCTACAATGAAAATCAGTGAGCAGTAACATCAGAATATTGCAGTGAACGGTAGGTAGATCCTGTAGGAAAGAGAAATACTACCGGAGAACTTTGTAGACACATGAGATGCACCACACAGAAAGATTACCGTAAGGCATTAATATTATTCTACTAAACAGCACATGAAAGGAGCATATAATTATCAGAACAGTTCTTGGTATCCATCCTTGTTCCACTTTTCATCTGCTAATTTCAGCAGTTACTAATTTAACAGGAAGACAATTAGGCTACTAATTAAAAGCAGAATTACAGTTATTCTTAAGCCGTGTTGAGGCATAACTCTAACTTTGTTAGTAAGAAAGCATACATGTAACATGTAAGTACCCACACTGTTGATTGACATGTATTGACTCAGAGTAATACTAATAGCTTTCTACTTTGTGTGGGAGCACAGGAAAAAGATTCCCACAAAGAAGAGTGGTTACGATGGGCTTGGGTCAACAACAAGTTTGATCATTTGGGATCCATGGAAATTCCCTTGATTATGCACACAGGTTTAAGAGAAAACACTCCACCAAAAGGAAGCACTGCAGCTACTTTTTTTTGGCAAAGACAGGAAGAAAATCTACTGAGGTGAGAGTTGGGATGAGCTGTCAAGATCAAAGATCAAATTGTAAGATTTCTGTAGATGCAGAGAGGCAGCGACAGGAGACACTCCACTGCTACTGTAAGTAGTACCGTCTGTTTTTGCAGTTGTGTCTCCACGGTGACTGGCTCAACAGAGATGACTCCTGCCTTAGCAAGGGCCTCCTCCATTTCAGTCATCCATGCAAGCAGGGCCAGGGCATTAGCACCGAAAAGGCGGCGGCTTTCTTGCGCTCGCTCAAGTTGGTCTCCCCGATTACAAACTTTTTCCTGGATGTTCTTGAAACGGTCTCTGGCAGAGTCAACTTGACCCTTCACAGCCTCCTGCTCATCATTGCTGCAAAGCTCCATCAACGATTGGCCAGATTTGGTCACCTGATTTACTGCTGCCTCCTGATTGGCCACTTCATCAGCCAATGCCTGAATATTTCATGGTTAGAGAATCTTTTATGGAGAGAATTTCATTCAATGCATTAGGATTCAAATATGAAACTAGGTTGTACTTTGGAAAGCATTTCAACTTTGACAACGACATTGCTATCTCACAGTTGTAATAATTGATATCAGCTTAAATTGAAGAGTCTTCAATATAAATAAAAATTCAAGATACTGATGGAAGCTATGAATCCCGGCCTTCATCATCAGTTTTCCCTTCCATACGTACCTCTCTATTCTGTACTTCCATTTGAGCTTAAATTTGTCCAGACCTAGAACTAGAACTAGAACGAAAGCTAGAGTTGGAGGCCACAAAACAAAAGTGCGCCAGGACACTGACCTGATGTTCTTTTGTGTCCTCCTCCATCTTGGCAGGGTCTGTAGCGATTGGCTGCTGAGATGACAGTTTCCTCTCCGTGGCCTCAAACCACTCCACTAAGGGGTCATACGCATCCTTGAACTCCTTTGCAACCTCCAAGATATCTTCAAGTTTTTGTTTTCTGTGGACGGGAATTCAAATTTAGAGACTTGTGCATAAGTACATGTATATCAAAAACTTCAAAAACTTCAGTGTTTTACAATTGAAACGGTTACCTTAGTTCGGTGAAATTTGGTGAAAAGTAGTGATAACAAACCTGTCTGCAGCATTGGTGGTGAGAGCGTCCCAGCGCTGGAACAAGTCTGCCAGCTGCTGCTGAATCTTCTGCCGGTCTGCTGGGTCGGCGATACTGGACAGCTGCTCTGCCTCCTGCTTCAGGGAGTCCACTGTCGGCTTCTTGTCATCCACTAGCCTCTTCAGCAGCTGTGTGGCAAAAATTTGATTACTACCTTGAGTTTCATTATCTTCTCTAACATCTAATCTGAATGTCAATGCTACGTACATAATCAGTTAACACAGTAGGATTTGTAATCACCTTCTGCTCCTGCAGTTGTGCTTTGATGACCTTGAACTCAGATGATGGTGGTCTCTGATTGGCCACAAGCTCCTCCGTGTCAGACAGCCACTCAAGAAGTGATGCTAAGGTCTCCTGGAACTTCCCAGAGTGCAACAGTGCTTGATCCAGCTTAGCCTTCCGCTCAGATACCTTGGGACAATACATCAATCAGCAAGAGAAATCACGATTGTATACTTATTTCAATTGTTCTCAAGTTTCCTATTCAGCAGGTTTATATTGGCATTTTACATCGGAGGACTGAATATGAATTATTTAACATTTAGCAGGTGTATGCTAGCTTAGCTCTCTTCCAACAAATACATTGAAGCATTTGAAGCAAATATTACAAGGAAATATCCACATCCCCAATATACTTTCTCACCTTTGATGCTAGGCTGTTCCATCTATCATTCACTGCCTCCAGATCAGCCTCCAGACCACTGGTGTTGACCCCAGGACTGGCTGACTGGACCAGCCCCTGGCCTGTCTTGTTAACAGAGTCCACCTGTGTCTGTAGGGGCTCAATGTGTGTCTGCTGAAACTCCTGTCATGCAGGGACAAAACAAGTATGAACAAACATGTTGATGACATCCATGTCTGCACATCTTTCCTCATTACATACATGTAGAATATTCCTATTTCTAAAGCATTGAAGGAGAAGTTGCAAAATTTAATATTTTTAAGGTTTCACTGTATCTCAGCAGCTGCTCAGACAGCAGTACTAACCTGTAAGTTCTTGTCCAGCTTTTGGATGTTGGCCAAATCCCCTCCAATGGGAGGCTGGGATTGCTGTTCCAGCTCTCCTTTCTCTATCCCATCATGCAGTGCAGCCAGGGTGTCATAGAAAGTCTGCAGCTTGCCAAGAGCAGAGGAGAGGTCTGTCTTCCTTCCCCCGGCCTTGTCGTTCAGTTTGCTGAGTCTTTTGTTGATTCCATCAAGCTAGAAAAGGTTGAAAAGCAAGGATGAAATGTGAGAAATTTACTATGAATCACTGAAACACAATAACTAGATCAATAGGTTGGTAAATCTTTCTCTTTGTTCCTACACGAGTTTATGCAAGTTTCACTAAGATGGTGAGACTTGACTGCCATGAACGTATCATACTTCTGGCCACAATTTACCTGTTTTTTTAGGTCTTCTGGATCTGAGGCTGTGCCAGAATCAACCAGTTCCTGACATCGTTTTATTGCCGCATCAGCCTCTGCCTTCTTCTCACCAAGTTTGTCATCAAACATCTGCAGATATACATGTAAACAACCAAAAATTCAAACATTTAAAAGCACTGTACAAGTATGTACATGTAAGTACATTGGATTTAAGTCATAAATTAAATACAACTACATGCACATCATGTTAAACTTTGACATAGTTCTACACTATGACTCAAGATACCAGCAACAATTTTCACCATTTTCCAACTTGCATCACTGATTGAATATACCACTGCCTTCACCATTGCTAAAACATCTTTATAACTAGAAAGGCCAATATTTGCTTTGGAGCAAATACAGCGATGGGTTCACCACATTTTACCACATGGCAGGGAAAGAATGAGAAACACAAGGGAAAACAATGATTTACATTGATATAACTATAATATGAAGTAAAATACAACTAAAACAACAGTTGGATAGCCATTCCCTACTTTAGTGGTTAGGATTTTTAATTGCATAATGCAAACTGTTGATTTTCAAAAAAAAAAAAAACGTCCATGCCCCGCATTCCAATGCTGGAGCAGGAAAGCTTGAAATACCTACCAAAACACTTGAATACAGACATACTGTCAGTATGGAAATGCTCTGTGCAGGTGTTAATCAAGTTAAATCCCAACAGCCAATCAGCAAGAAATGCTCTGTGCAGGTGGAAATGCTCTGTGCAGGTGTTAATCAAGTTAAATCCCAACAGCCAATCAGCAAGAAGTATAGAGGAAAGCTGCATGCCTATTGGTTGATGCCCTGCATTCCATTGTGATGACTCATGCCCAAACGTGGTAAACAAGGCACACTAACACAGTAATACATTTGCTATAACACAGCCAAAAAACTCAAATAAAACCATTCTAAAAGCCTGTATCACAATAATTTAAAAAACGCCTAGGGGTATTTGCCCACTGTACCTCCATACCAAATTTCAGGACCTTGGGCCCTAAAATGAAGAAGCTGAATCCATTTAAAAAATGGCAGGAGAAGGAGGAGGAGGAGGAGAAGAAGAAA